TGCTATTTGTTGTCACTGCTGGCAATCACTCACTTCTGCTCTATCATTAGCATGCTTATCTGACAAGGAGGGCAAAAGCAACTCTGTACGAATCAAGCAAGTCTTTGAATTCATTCCTTGGGAGGTAAGCATCTTGCTTTCCATCAGGTCTTGCATTTTGGGGAATCTAACATGATGGTGGGCCACAGAATGGAGCCAAATACTGCATGATTCTAACAATACAACACTGTTAGGTAAATCACATCTGAGAAAAGCAGGGATGATCTGAATGACTGATAATACCAGCAATCAGTGTGCCACAGCCTGAGGGGTTGGGGCAAGGGAAAAAAGTCTTTTTTAGGTCAAATTTGACTTCTGGTGATTTAATGGACATATCCACGTAGTTTTCTTGGAAGCAATACAGAGTTAGATTTGCCATTGATTTCTTCCATGATGTTTTTTGGACTACCACTCTAGCATACATCCCTGGGACTTCCTGGTAGTCTCCCATTCAAATACTAACCAGGTACTTTTCAAGATCAGCATCAAGAATAGACCATTAACAACCTAGTTTGGCCCACAAGAACTACTTTGCAGCAAAGTTGCAGAGAACAAAAGCTAAGACTGGTTGTATTTGAAAGCGTCTCTAAAGATTTTAATCAGAATGTTTTGGGTGTCAGAACACTTCTTATGCCTATGGAGGCATAGAGTTTTTTCTCCCCTGTACTGATGCCTCTCTAATTTCTCTTCCAGGTTCAGATGCTAATATCTTAACGGGGCCCTCATAATCTGCATGTGTTTATAGAGGCACATTTCAGATGCCACTTTTCTTAATCAGGGTTAAATAATCAGATTCAGCCACTGGAGTGAAATGTGTTAGGCTTTATTAAAGGCAAGAATATCTGAGGAATGCTCCTAAAAAACAGCCTGCTGAACTATGTTTCTCTTTCTTTTGTATCTACTCCATTTGGTAATATTACACATTGTGAATAAAATTCTAGAAAATTCATCACAACTGTCCTGAAAAAAAAATAACAAAACCTTCACAGTTCTTATCTCTAAGATTCTTGGATTCAAATTCAAGAGTGGAAGTTTAAGCGATCATGGATTTCTCTGGGCATCTGTAAGAGTACACCTGAGTTGAAAGAGTCCCCACAGGGCTCTTTTTCACCCTAAGATGATTTTCCAAGTGTTCTGATTTACTAGGGGACTAGTACATACTGCTCAGTTTTTTCTGCTTGACTTTTCCTCCCAACAGGAGCAAATAAGTGGATTGTGGAAGTTTCTTTTGTGGTCTGCCTATCCGTGGCCTGCATGACTCTTAACTAGCCAAACACTGTTCTTGATTGGGCTAGATATGACATGGATTCCAATTCAGATAATAGAATAACCATCACAGATGAAATTTTTAAGTGACTTGTTTAGCTGCTCCTATGGCAGGAAAACTCCAGCAATAATAACTGAGCTCATCTGCAGCTCATCTCAGAAATTCTGATCTACCAAGACACACAAATCCTTCCTATATTAGTGAAGCTGTAACATTCTGTTATAAAAGGAACCTCTTCCGATTGCTTTACTGGTATTGTCTTTCCTACATTTCAATTATTTTAGTGCATGCAGAGTATGTGGCTGCAGCATTTTTCCATAAGTATACTGACAGAATTTTGTTTCCCTGAGCTACTTGTTTCCTGTTCAAACCTTGGACTGACAACCCAAAAGGAATTAAAGAAATCATGTCATTTTTGCTCTCTATAAAGATTTCATTATCAAAATAGCGGATGGGCATCTCACACAGTAGACTTTCCTAACCAGTCATCCATCCGAATCACCATGGCATCAATGAATCCATCAGTAAGCCTCCGTGTTTCATTCTATTCACTGTCTCCATGATTACTAAGGCTTAGTTACGAGACTAGCAGAACGAAAAGTACAACATGCCTTCACTTTAAGGAGAAACTTTTAATGTGAAGCACTTTCAATCAAATATTTCCATACAGGCTCAAAAAATGACATATATTCACACACATGCAGTCCAAGGTAGTCCTCTAAACTAGTGCATATCCATCATATAATTGCCTTCAAATGAGTCAATTTGAATTGTTTTCAACTTGGAGTTTACCTGTTCTCAGTCTGAAATTCCCAGAAATTATTCTGTAATTCACTTTGTGCTCCAACTTGTCAAATACAACAAGGAATAAGGGCTTATTCACCATTTCCCCTTTCGGATTGTTCAGTGTAATTGGATACAGTCCCATTCTTCACCAGGCATAATGAGCTGCCCAAGTCCCCTGCCTTCCTAAAACTCACCAAAAAAAAGTATTCTATAGTGAAACCATGTTTTGACAAATTGGGGTGAGGTGGATTTTAAGGGGATGTCCTTTATTCATGAATGTCCATTAAATACTAAAGGACATCATTGTGGCAATTTGTATCATTTGCATCAAGCAGGGTACATTACATTGAAATTCAAAAAAATGAATTTTTACTGTACAGTAATTTGAGGCATTAGCACAACTCCATTATATCTAGATCCAAATCAAGGTCTCTCAATATTGCCTAAATTCATTGATGTTCTTTAAATGCAAAAGATAGCTAGAAGCTTAGATTCTAACTTTATTTTATCCATTAGTATTACTCTTTTAAAAATCTTAACCAAGTGTGGAGATTATCTGATACTAGTTTTAGATGAACCCCGAAGAGAAGTGAAATTCATCCAAATCACACTGATAAAATGATATGTCAGTCTAATTTTTCAAACATTTAAAAAAAAAAACTCCAAGGACTTTTGTGTGGAGTTAAAGCATGTCACAATCCTTTCTTTTTCTTTTCTTTTCTTTTCTTTTCTCTCAAGTTTCCATAATAAAAACTTCAGAACTTACCGCCCAACCAAAGGTAGGGGATAGAAGAAATGTTGTTGTAGTCTGAGGATTTAACAGGTAGGGGATTTAATATTTCACATACAGAGGCTATGGTTGTGCATCATGGAATCGGCACAGCCTCTCACAAAATGAGACAAAAAAGGAAGGAAAGTCATTGAGCTAAAGGAGGCAATATGCAAGTCTAAGAGGAGTAAATTAAGTAATTTAAGGTTAGCTAAGAGTAGAGCTGCTCAGATGGGCACTTTTTACCAGAATTCAATAGCATCTGGGACAGCCCTGAGATGCTTGAATTTCAGCTCTCAACCACCCCACAGGCTGCACAGATCATGCTAGCTGAAGAACAGGAAAGTTGTAGCCTAACATACATGAAGGGAACCCGTTGGGAAAGGATATGTTAGTTTCTGCCTTTGGCCTTTAATAATATTTGTCACAAAATTAATTAGGAATTTCTCCAGATTTCTGCCAGTTTCATCTCAGAATAGTACATAGCATTCCTGTAGATGATTTACAAACCAATTGAAAGAAAGCATTGTAACATAGTCTTGCAGTTTGGGAAGATGGGGAGGTGAAAAGCCACATTATTCATCACATCATACTCTGTAACAATAAGTGTTTTATGACCCTAATATAATTATGTCCTGTATGAAACTCTCTAGGAGAAAAAAAATTATCTGGAACTAAACAAATTGGATTTTACCTTCTTACAAAGGCAGGCACTAGACAGGATTATAGACCCTTATGAGCATCAAAGTGCTTTCTCAGCCCAACATTTTCACTAGCAGATATCATTTCAGAATGACCCCAGCTTTGGGAAATATCTTGGCATGAAATCTAAAGTCAGTCTCCAGAAGGTCATAGGCAAGATCCCTTTGTGCAATCTTTCTGATTCCACATACACTGAATCATAATTAGTTTGTCAATTACATATCTCAAAGTACCAAGAAGATCATTCGTGTTAAAGTATTGGACTGGGACTGAGAAGGTTCAGATGGAAGTCCACTGTTAATCATGGAAATCAATAACTGACTTTGGCCCAGTCACTATCTCTCAGCCCTATCTGCCTCACAGGTTGTTGTAGAGAAAAACTGGAGGCAGAAGTTCTATGTATATTGTTTTGAGCTCTGGATGAAAGGCAGGATAAAAATTTAACAAATAAATATAAATAACTAACTAAAATCTACTTTTGCTAAAGAATTCACACACATATACAAAAATCCAAGTTTTTAACTGGATTCAAAATCCAACATAATCATTTATATTTTGTGCTATATGATGGTATTATTCAACACAAATCATACTCAATAAGGGTTAAAACAATAAATGACAGAACATTAGTAACTGTAATAAATATGTTGTTGGCTACCAAAATTCCCGCACTACAGCATTCTTTTCACTGCTTCAATACAAAGGATGTCTCCTTTGTTTATATAATAAGAATTTGTTATTACATAACAATTTTGAATTAGAAAAAATGTTCATCTGCTAGTAATCAAGGTGGAGACATCATATTACTGCCATATTAAACTTGTTAGCAGGCTTTGAATTGTCACCAGTTGCTGACAAGCATTATTCATGGACTGAATTAAATCTACTAAGGAAACAAAGAATTTTTTTTAAAGGAGAGACTGACTACCAAAAAAAAAAAATTCTGGTTGCTTTGTAATGTTCCTAGCACATTGGCTGTTTTCATATATATTAGCCCTAATGGGACACAAAGCAGTTTGGAATATTCAATTTAATTTCTGGTGCCTAATTTAATTTCATAATTTAAATTTAATTTCTGTTGTAGTGGCTGTCTTTGATCTTTATACTGGTAATACATACAGAACAGTAAGAATCAGCATACATGAGAAAAGAATAAACACGGCTGAGGTAAAAGAGTGATGTAGTAGTTAAGATGTAGTAGAACTGGGGAGACACAGCTTCACATCCACCTCCAGTCATGGAAGCTCACTGGATGACTTTGGTCCAGACATTCTGTCTATGCCCAACCTACCTCACAATTTTATTGTGGTAAAAAAAAAAAAAAAGGAAGAAGGAGTATTGCATATTCAACTTCGAGCAGCTGGACAAAAGACAGAATCTAACTCTAATCACAAACACTATAAAAGAAATAAAATAAAATAAATGAGAATTACTTACCATCTTCTGTACTATTCCCAACAATGTTCCAAGAAGATGGAATCTCTTCATGGGCCATAGCTAGCATAACGTCATGATCCATTGACTGCAAATCTCTCACAATCAAACCAAATTGACTGAGAAGCGTGTGATGACTTGAAGAAGTGAGACAGTTGACCTGGCTCACCAAGAAACATGCTAATTCACAAGCAATGTCATGCTTGTAAGTGATAGATGAGGAGCCCAGAGTCACAAATTCACTTTCCTTTCCATACATAACCACAAAGACAGAAACATCTTCTTGTTCTCTATGAGCTGAAAAAGTATAAGGACAATTAAACATTATATACTCAATACATGACTCTAAGAAAAATATATATTTTTACCACTTTTAAAAGTATGGGAAATTGGAATTAAAGTGAAGTTCCATTCTCATATACTGTATGTGCAGAAAAAAATTAAAACAATTTATAGTATCCATTCCTCCTATTCAAATTTCACATGTGCATCATCTGCACTTGACTGAAGTACATAAGCAATGCCTAGTAACATTAGAAGTAATAGAGAGCCTGGTGGATATATTTTTCAGTTGTCAGGAATTGGCCAGTGCCTTATACTGCTCCTTTTTATTCAGTGCAACTTTCCACCGTCCACATGTATTAGGATTACAACTATTAGAATACCCAGCCAGAATGAATTGGCCCAGGCAGAAAAACATGCCAGAAGAATTCCCAGCCAGAAGACTATGTTGTCTGGGAATTATGGAATTTATGGTTCTAACAGATGTAGAGTTGCCCCATCAGCAAAAATGTTGTTAGTAATACAAACAAAAAGGTTTGTATTAGCTGATATTTATTTGATCGCCGATGTGACAGATCAAGCCAGGTTGTTCTAGGCAATGTGTGACTGCCTGGCCATGCAAACCAGTACTATAATTACTTCTGCACTCATCGGTACTTGATACTAGTGTATCAAGGACAGAGGACTTTTTCACACAAATTCTGCTTGACTATGTGGTAATGGTGCTGAAAGGATAGCACTCAAACAATGGGGAGGGAAAGCAATGTATCAAGGCACCTGATACCTGCAGAATCCAGTGTGTTCCACACACCCCTTTACTAGAAGATAAAAATAGGGTAGATGATGCTTGAGAACAAGTTAAGGATAGATTGTCATGGAGAAAAACGATCAATGTGGTCGCTAGTAGTCGATGGCACATAATCAAGCAATCAATCAATGCTTGAGGGTATTTATGGAAAGTTGATGCCCTACTACTTATGGTCTAGTATATAGGAGATTTTAGAGATTTTAGCAAAACAGATTCAAAACAAAATCAGCAACTTCCTGAATAGCTAGTCCCTGGCTCAGGCTCATTTCTAGAAGACAGAATGTGAGTATGAATTAGACCAAGCATACAGAGAGTGATATCTCCCTACAGTATACTGTCTCCTGATTCAGGAGCGACCAATCTCAGTATTTCTTTTACACAGGCAGGAGGAGGAGATAACTGATGCAGTGGGCAAATGCTATAAAGATCAGCCCTGGTCTGAAGACACTGGGCAGTATGCCAGTGCTGCTGCTAACAAAAAGCTAGCAAAAGCTAGCAAATTTTATAAGCCATGCTTTTATAAGGCTTCAGACTAGAATATATGTTGTAAATAAAAAGAGCCTCCCCCACCCCTAAAATGGGGCATGCAGAAAAGTCCAGCCTGGGTCATAATCTGATTTCAGAAATACAGAAAATGTTATTTCAGAATTCCAGCAGAAAATTTTCATTCCTGATTCTTGAAACTGTATATATTAAGTAGGATCATAAATAATGCTTGGACCTGGGGAAGGACAAACTAAGTAACGTGGAGTATGCAGTACTCCAGAAAGTGTCAGACATTTCAGGAAAATCAGCTGCCACTTATTGCTACGCTCAGTCAGTTATCTGGAATCAGACATCACGTTTTAGCCCAGCAACTGCACACAAGAGACAAAAACATAACATTTTCTTCTTTCTTGCTATTGTTTGGCTTCCACTGTGATAATGATTAAATAATCAGAATTCAGTTATTAACAGCCCCCCCAACAAATTAAAATGCTGCCGTAGGAAGGCAAATGGACAATGTAGTAAAGCTATCACACTCACCTGGAATAATAGATTCAAGGGTGTTATCAGTAACTTGCTTAGCAAAAACCACGTGTTTCTGTGTTGAGCCTTTGTAAACAAAGTAAAATTCAGCCTTCTCTGGAAGAATGTTGTCAAACTTTCCGTATATAATGATTTGTCCCTAGAAAATGGACATATTTTTAATGCTATATCATATAGTGTAAGTATTTCTAATTACAAGGAGTTGGCAGTACATAATGGGCATATTCCACACAATCCCATTTACTATAGTTAAATGAATGTGAAAAACATGGTTAAAGCTTTCACACTGAAATCAGTGGAGCTGAAAATGTTTACTCGTAGACAGATTATGATAAAAGGTTTGTAGTTCAAACCAGAATTAACAAGATTATAAACAAATCACACTTTTTCCAGCAACTGAAATTAACAAACCAAAATAACGCCATTACTGTCTCTAGCACTGATTAGAACATATCTTGTTATGTGTGAATTACTGAGTTCAGGGTGTGCACAAAACCAAAATTATGTAATCCCCATGTCTCCAGATAAGAATACACAAGTGCATCAATATTACATTCAGTTTTTCTGACCCATGAAAATGCCAATCAATGAAATGTAGGCAGGAGGATCACTCCTTGTAGTCATGTCATCCCAGGTATTCTTTAATTAAAGCATTACTGAAGAGTCAACAGCTAAGTGACAGCCACAGAGCTTTCATAATGTGCCGGACAATGGATAAGATTGACAAAGCCTTGGCATGAGAGCAAAAGGCACCATCACTCTGCTGGCAACACCCAGCTCTATCTTTTCTTTTGATGCAAACTTGGTCTTGCTTATTTGCTATCTGGGTGTGATGGGCGAACAGGATACAAAAAGAACTAACTGATAATGAATCAGACTAAACTTAGGAAATGATGTCCAACAAAGCCTATGAACTCAGGCAACAAACATTAGTAATCATCACCAACAGGTTAAATCTCTCATATACTATGCCCTAGTGTGCTGTGGTCTCTTTTTTCTTTGAAAAAAGGCCATATTACTAGTAAAACAGACATACATCTGACTATGTAATTCCACCAAATGAAAGCAAAGCTCATTTAGAGAAAAGGCATTTCCAAATGTGCATTTTCCAGAAACAAAAAAGGTTCATAAGTAAGTTTTATATTGAAATTCTAACTATTCTAAATATAATTCAGGACAGTAATTTCTATATAGAGTTCTTTACAGCATCCAGAATTTTTTTTTTTTTTTTTGCAGTCAGCATGTAAGGAAACAAATGTATGTGTCCAATTTATACATTACACATCTAGAAATAATTATTAAATTAGGTGCATAACTGGAGATTTAGGAGGGGGGAATCACAAATCAGTATAACTTGGCAAAAACAAATGAACACAAGTGTCTAAAATATTTTTGATGAAATGTAATAACATGCCTGTTTAAAGTCACACTTATTCCATGGCCTTTGAGAGAAAAATGAAAGCTAAACAGACTGTACAGAATATTACTTGAAGATTATTCTTTATAATACAAAACTAAAACGAACTAGAGACTAAACTAAAAGAAGGTAAGGGAACAGTGAACAATTAATGGGAAAGAACCTAGAACATTTCAGAGGTACAGACTCTTGCAGGAACTTAATGAATTTACCAAATACATCCAAATAAAAACCAGATATAAGTTTCCATTATTATTGTTGGTCACACAGTCATCCAGTTGTTTAGACTGGATTTGCCATTTTTATCCACCTATTGAGTCCTTCCCAAGGACCTGGGATAGGCAGATGTTGTTGCTTGATGGTGTTAAAGGTATCGTCGCAGGATGTAAGCTGTTCCAAGTAAACCTGCCTTTTGCAATTGACTGATGGTGATTTTGTCAATGTTGATGGTCTTCAAATGATGCTCCAGATGTTTGGGGATTGCACCCAAGGCGCCTATTACTATTGGTACTATCTTTGCTTTCTTTGCACACAGTTGTTCTATTTCTGCAGGTCTTTGTATTTTGTGATTTTCTCCAGTTCTTCCTCTTCTATTTTGCTGTCTCCAGGTATTGCAATGTCCACTATCCAGACTTTTTTG